CCTGTCACGTTACACGTTACATCCTGTTTTCTTTCATGTGGACCAGGTCTGACTATCTGGGGGTTGGAGAAAATGTAACAGACTCTTCTTTATGAAAATTAAGAGGTGAGACATGAATGAGCTCTGGGATGTTTCAGCTAACACGGAAACATTCGTTTTAGCGAAGGTAGCTAGCAAATGGTTTTGCTTAGCTTTTGTTTATATCTGAATATTAATCAAACAATCAGTGGTGAAACGTTTTCAACAAGACTGCCTTACTCTCTAATGCATGGAGTGAAACGATACCATATCCAGTAGTTGCCAACCAGCTGTTAAAACAGCAAGTTTTGAGGTTTAACACTAGAAGCTGCATTTTTTAACGTTGCAGTTTGATTGAAGTTAAACTTTACTAAGATGGGATCCTCATTGATGAAATACGTTCATACTAAAACCACAGTCAGTTTTAAGGTAAATTTATCCTTTAAAATTAATTTTGTTTTGCTAAGATAATGTGTCATGAATCAGTTCAGAATGATGGATCTTGTCCCAGAATAGTTAAAAAAAAAGTATGAGGTGATAATATTGGGAAGGTTTTAAAGTAAAGACATGTCTGGTTACTGTGACAGAAAGAGAAAGAAGTCCAAGTCTACTGTGACAAATGATTAAAGGGGTAGTTCAGATCTTTAGAAGTGGGGTGAACCGCCTCAGTTTGCAGAAGGAGAGGTTAAGCCCCCAGTATACTGCCGCGTACCTCCATACGCAGAGGTACGCACGTACGTACGCAGAAATACGAGCGTACCCCCAGGGCATGTCCGTGCAAAGCTCAAATTTTTTCGACCGCATACGCAGTGTCGCACAATAAACTGCCCAGCGACGGACTGTTTTGTATGCAACACCAATGTATTAAATTTCCCTTCTTCATCTCTGATCTGGCCTTTTCTTTTGTTTTTTTGCCAAGAGGCAAGTGATCTCTTCCTCCTCCGTTGATGCCATGACTGAAATGGTGAGGAAGGAATTTGTCACGAGCGAATTAAACTCAGGTCCAGTGTGGCTGCGGGAGGGTCTGGAGATTTCCTGGTGGGCTGGTCTGATGTGTGGGCTGTAGAGCCAGCGCTCCCTGTTTTTTTTTTTTTCTAGGTCTTTTTATTAACAACATATAAACACAGAACACCGCTGCAGCTGAGGCTGCCAGCGCTCGTTTTTTTTTCTTCCCAGCCTGTCAATCCCGTAGGCGTGTCAGCAAATGACCAATTGGCAAACTCAATTTGTCCCGAAGGTAAACGCCTCTTGTCTGTGAAGCTGCTCTGCAGCTGCTCGGGGTGTATGCTGGAGTACAAAGTCTGAACCCTCTGTGTACAGTATACGCGTACGTACGCGTGAACGGACGTATGCGGCAGTATACTGGGGGCTTTAGTTTGAAATGAACTGACGAGCTGTCAGATAGTCCCAGTTTTGTCATGACTGAAGTAGATCATTGCTCCTTAAAACTGCTTCAGTCTTAAAACCTTCATAGAGTTTCCTGCAAATGCTGTTTTACAAATCTGTACCTGTCATTCATTACATGAGTATTGCATCAACAATATCTAAATGTTCTGACCTGAACTACCCCAGGCTGCACCGGAAGTGCTACTGCTAACTGCTGCTGTTATGTTTGTGTCTTCAAAAAAAAAAAGAAAAAAAAAAGTGTAAACAAGTAATTTAAGTTGTTTTAAGATGACAGTTCATTCTGGTCTTGATCCTGCTCGGACTAGCTGTCAGCTCGTCACTCAGGTGCTTGTTAAGTCGTATTTTTGCCACTTCATCCTCTCACCTCGTATTTAGTAGTTGTCATTTTGTGCTCAGTGGACAGTATTTTCTACACATATACAGTGAGGAAAATAAATATTTGAATACTGTGCGACTTTGCAAGTTCTCTCACTTAGAAATCATGGAGGGGTCGGAAATTTTCATCTTAGGTGCATGTCCACTGTGAGAGACATAATCTAAAAAAAAAAAAGAATAATCCGGAAATCACAATGTATGATTTTTAAAAATAATTTATTTTTGTGTTACCGCTTCAAACAAGTATTTGAACATCTATGAAAATCAATGTTAATATTTGGTACAGTAGCCTTTGTTTGCAGTTAGAGGTCAAAGGTTTCCTGTAGTTTTTCATCAGGTTTGCACACACTGCAGCAGGATTCTGGCCCATTCCTCCACACAGATCTTCTCTAGATCAGCCAGGTTTCTGGGCTGTCGCTGAGAAACAGAGTTTGAGCTCCCTCCAAAGATTTTCTATAGGGTTTAGATCTGGAGACTGGCTAGGCCACTCCAGAACCTTGATATGCTTCTTACGGAGCCACTCCTTGGTTATCCTGGCTGTGTGTTTCAGGTCATTGTCATGTTGGAAGACCCAGGCACGACCCATCTTCAATGCTCTAACTGAGGTGAGTGGAATTAAGACCAAAAAGTTTTATTTTGGTCTCATCTGACCACAGAACTTTCTCCCATGACTCCTTTGGATCATCCAAATGGTCATGGGCAAACTTAAGACGGGCCTGGACGTGTGCTGATTTAAGCAGGGGAACCTTCCGTGCCATGCATGATTTTAAACTATGACGTCTTAGTGTATTACCCACAGTAACCTTGGCAACAGTGGTGCCAGCTCTCTTCAGGTCATTGACCAGCTCCTCCCGTGTAGTTCTGGGCTGATTCCTCACCTTTCTTAGGATCACTGATACGCCACGAGGTGAGATCTTGCATGGAGCCCCAGTCTGAGGGAGATTGACAGTCATGTTTAGCTTCTTCCATTTTCTAATAATTTCTCCAACAGTTGATCTTTTTCACCAAGCTGCTTGACAGTTGCCCCCCTAGCTCTTTCCAGCCTTGTGGAGGTCTACAATTTTGTCTCTGGTGTCTTTGGACAGCTCTTTGGTCTTAGCCATGTTAGTAGTTGGAGTCTTACTGATTGTGTAGGGTGGACAGGTGTCATTATGCAGCTAACAACCTCAAACAGGTGCTTCTAATTCAGAATAATAAGTGGAGGTGGGCTTTTTAGAGGCGGACTAACAGGTCTTTGAGGGCAAGAATAGTTGCTGATTGGCAGGTGTTCAAATACTTATTTGCAGCAGTAACACACAAATAAATTATTTAAAAAATCATACATTGTGATTTTCAGATTTTTTTTTTTAATATTATGTCTCTCACAGTGAACATGCACCTAAGATGAAAATTTCAGACCCCTCCATGATTTTTAAGTGGGAGAACTTGCAAAGTCACAGGGTGTTCAAATACTTATTTTCCTCACTGTACTTATGTGGCTCCAATGACAAAATATTTTTACGACCTGAGGTTACTTGATAACATATAAATCCTACCTGTAAAATAATTAGTTTAAAAAACATGTATGACTATAGACATGATTATGTTTCATATTGACCAGTGACATGTACAGATATGCTGTCTTGGTATTTTTATTGCATGCAAGTTAGCATGAGTTTAATAATTTTTGTTTGACACTTTTTCAAAGTGTACTCCTGTAGAATCCTGTTCCTTTCTGCTTAACTTCATTCTGTTGTCACAGAGTCTTTTCAGTGTTTCATGTTTCCTGCTCTGTGTGTTTGTGTGTTGTCAACAGGCTGCGGACATGGGCCCAGAGGAGACACCAGAAATAAAATCAGAGCCTTTAGAGGAAAGTATGTACAGATGCTTTATAGGTTTTGTTCTATTTCATATAGGCTTCGCCCTTTAAGGCTGTCGCTGATGGGTTTTATCCCGTTATGTGAAGCATTACACTGAAAAGTTTAGTCCACGCCCACCCGCTGTGTGGGCCCCACCCAGTCTGTATAAGTTACGTTAAGAGCGGGTAATCGGTTCCCTCCGAATTTTCTTCAGCAAGCTAATATCACTGACCTTCTACAAGATGTCCAGCTCCAACTCCATCCACTTGTGTCCGTCCTGCAAGACCAGTTACTTGCTCAGCTTTGACTGGTACGACACCTGCGAGGGATGCCTGGGTCCCCGCCACGTCGCCCGCGCTTCCTCCTGCCGCCTCTGTGATGACCTTCCTCCAGAGGAAAGGCAGAGGAGAGCAGCCTTGTTTAAGGCTAACGTCAAGGACTGCCTGTCCGTGGCGAGAGACTTTTCACTAGACGAAGCCATCGACTTGTTCGACGCCGGCTCTCGGAACGAATTGGATGGTTCCTCTAGGACAGGCGACGTCAGCAGCAGCCCCGATGCTCGCTCCCTCCCGGAGAGCGTAGGAACGAGGGGGGCCGAGTGGATGCTCGACCCCTCCGGGCTTTCCTGCCTCAACGGCCACATCGCTCCCTGTCGTCGGCGCCCTCCTCTCAGAGTTGCCCGACATTATCCGGGAAGCTGCTGACATGAAGGGACTTTCCGTTCCCTCCCTCCCCCTGCCCAGATCGGATGATCTAGCGGGAAGGTTTGGCTCCACTCCAGCTCGCCGTCATGATCCCATCTGGCCTCGGTTTCTAGTGGTGACGTCGTATTGGAACGAGGCCGCGGCCAGTCCTGGTAAACTTAGAACGCCCGTCTCCACTTTCGCTCCCATCACCAGAGTGGAGGGGTTCACCGAGCGGAACTTTCCCTTGTTACCCCCCCTTGAGCCAAGCCTTGCAGAAGCCTTCGTAGCGAAGCTGTCCAGGTTAGAGCAGCGTCCCGTCCCTCCTGGGAAACACGACCAGACTGTGACCACGCTCTCCAATCGAGCTCACCAGTGTGCGTTTCAGGCAGCCGGAGCTAACAACAATGTGGCGCTGTTAGCATACAGCATGTCCAAGAGGCTGGAGGCCGCAGATCTGCCTGATGAGTCCAGGAGCTCCCTTTGCAAGGCATCTGATGCCATTCTCAACATGTGTGCCTCTTCTGCGGTCTGCCTGTCCAGAATTGCAGCATGGATGACGATGATTCAGAGATCCACCTGGCTCCGTCATTCCCCCTCTCTGCCGGAGAAGCTGCACAGAGACCTGATGGAGGGCCCCATCACGGCGGACGCGCTGTTCGGGAGCAGTTTCAAGGCCATGTTGGAGAACTCCAAAAAGTCGGAGGAGGTGTCGGAGACCGTGCGCCACCTCATCAAGCTGCGTGGCTCATCCCGCCTCCCGGCCCGCTGGAGAGATCGTCGTGAGCAGAGGCAGAAACAACGACGTTCCACGACTGCAGCAGCGTCGTCTCGCTCAGCTCCACCTCCAGCCCCTCCCATCAGAGACCAGCCCTCTTCATCCTGGCAACCAGCAGTTCAACGTTTCCCCAGAGATCGCCAGCAGGCAGCGCCCTGGGCCAACAAATCACAGAGCTCACGGGGGAAAAGGTTAAAAAAATGACGGTCTGCGGAGGGTGTGTAAAAATGACACAAACTTTGAAATAAAACATCATTCAATGATTAAAGTGTCTGTTTTTAGCCAGTCTGTAAGCTCGAATGAACTTACAGTGGCTGTGCACACATCCTCCACACAAAACGAGCCGGTGCCCTTAAATAAAGGTTTTTCTAAACCACCGTTGCTCCAAAACGAGACGAGACGCTCACATGACACAACAGTGGTAAGCGAAATAACTTGTTTTCAACCCGAGCTGCACAATCCTCATCCAAGCGGTGTCAAACGCGCACTTGCGCGACGCGAACAACCTTCACCCAAAGCTGGGTCCATACACAGCTCCCCGGCGTTCACCGGCTCACATCGGCATAAATGTGAGACCACAGAACGGGTCCAGTGAAGGACATCGCTCTCAGCGAGAGTGCCACGCGCCACACCAAAGCAAACGCGTGCCTCCGCGGCATGGGCAGCCTTCACTCACCACTCCTCAGTGCTCGGCCCCTCACGTCAGCATAAGCGTGAGACAACTGAGCGAACCCAGTGACAAACCTCATTCCCAGCGAGAACGGCACGCGTCCCACCAAAGAAAACGTGTGCTCCTGCGGGGCTCACAGCCTTCACTCAAATGGCACGGCGAGGATGAAGTCACGCTCCCCGCTTGTCAGCAATCGCCCGCTCATGTCAGCATAGATGCGAGATTGCGAAGCGAGCCCAGTGCAGGACCCCGCTTGCGGCAGGAGCGACACGCGCTTCATTGCAGTGGTGTCAAATGCGCGCCCCCGCAGCGTCATCAGTTGTCACTCTTCTCAACACACACCGGTGACATGAAGATGGACCCGTGGTCCGAGCACAGCACACAGGCGCGTTCAGAGCCCTTTCGAGAAAGCCTTGCCTTGGGTCACGCGGATCACACTCCCGCGGTGCTTGACGGCGGTTGAGGCGGTGGACTGAATGACATCCGTACAAAACATGACGCGTCACCTAAACGCGCGCCCACTCCACGAACATTACACGGAGTGGCTAAAAACATGCTCACCAGACAGATGGATGACCAGGTTGTTAAACAGGGGATACACGTTGCAATTTGGGGCCTGACCCCCTCCGTTCGGAGGAATTTTAGAGACGGTCCTGTCATCACCAGACCAAATCTCATTCCTAAATGCTGAAGTCCAAGAACTTCTAGTAAAAGAGGTGATCTCCAGAGTTCCCGACGGAGAGGAAAACACAGGGTTTTACTCATGTTACTTCCTGGTTCCCAAACGGACCGGAGGAACGAGACCCATTTTGGATCTGTCAGTCTTCAACAAGGTGATCATGGACAGACCATTTCACATGTTGACAACCAAACAGCTGTTGGACAATATCCAGAGAAACGACTGGTTTGTTTCCATTGACCTGAAAGATGCCTATTTTCACATACCGATCATCCCAAAACACAGAAAATTTATGCGCTTCTCCTTTCAAGGGATGAAGTATCAGTACAACAGGCTGCCGTTCGGTTATTCCCTCGCGCCTCGTACGTTCTCAAAAGTGTGTGGAGACGGGCCTGCAACTGTTACACAGAGCAGGGATGAGAGTTTTGTTTTACCTGGACGACCTGCTGCTGCTGTCACGCTCCAGACAGGAAGCAGCGATGCAGGCTCAGGTGCTGACATCACACCTGTTAAATCTGGGCTTCACCATAAATTGGAAGAAAAGCTCGATTCTCCCGGCCCAGACGATTGTTTATCTGGGAGTGGCGCTAAACTCGACCACCATGCGGGCTTGTTTATCACAAATGAGAATCAACACTCTAAAAGACCAGTTCCGCCACGTAAGACCTGGCAGAGTGGTAACAGCTGTTTCCGTCATGAAGCTGTTAGGAGCGATGTTGTCAGCTCACACAGTGGTCCCGCTGAGTTTACTACACATGAGACGCCTCCAGAGGTGGTCTGCGTGTCTGCGTGTGGATCCAGTAAAACAAAAGAGACGGATGATCACTGTTCCTCCCTCCGTGAGAGCCGAACTCCGACACTGGGGAAACACCCTGGCTCTGTCAGAGGGAGTCCCCGTCAGCAGACCCACGTCACACGTGTCAGTCTTCACAGACGCGTTGCTGTCAGGCTGGGGGGGGGGATATGCCTATCTCAAGCTGTAGGAGCATTGTGGCCCCATCACACATCAGCTCACATAAATGTTTTGGAGTGCCGCACAGTTTTGAACGTGATTCAACACTTTGCTCCTGTGCTGCAGAATCAACATGGTTTGATTCACACCGACAACAATGTTACTGCTGCATACATAAACCGGCGAGGGGGTGTGCGCTCAGCCCAGATGTTACACATTGCGAGAAAACTACTGTGTTGGGCACACCAAAATCTGCTCTCCACAAGAGCAGTGTACATCCCCAGTGTTCTGAACAAAGAAGCAGATTTGATGTCCAGGGACGGTCCACGTCACTGGGACTGGACTCTCCATCCAGATCTGATGGCTCAGATGTGGCAGAAATTTGGCATAGCAACTGTGGACCTGTTTGCGATACGAGAAAACGTTCAGTGTCAACTATGGTTTTCACTGAGCCTGCGAGACGAACCACCGCTGGGGGTGGATGCGTTTGCTCACAGCCCATGGCCCAAAACGCTTCTTTACACGTTTCCCCCACCTCCCCTGATTTTACGGTTTTTGAACCGAGTTCAGGAGGAGGGATTGACAGCTCTCCTGGTGGCCCTCGAGCGCGTGAACGCACCATGGTTCCCAGTCCTACAACGCCTGCTATCGGGGCGCCCGTGGAAACTGCCGTGGAGGGAGGACGCTCTCCTCTAGGCGGGAGGACCGATCAGGAGTTAACCAGAAATAGGCCAGCACCTGTGGGTCTGGCCGCTGAGCGGATCCGTTTAGAGAGGATGGGTCTCCCGCAAGATGTAGTGCGCACAATCCAGGATTCACGTGCTGCATCTACCACAGCGCTGTACACATCAAAGTGGACAGCTTTTCAGCGCTGGTGTACGGAGAAAGGTGTAGAGGCCACCTCATGTCCTCTAGGTGACGTGCTGTCTTTTCTGCAGCAGCTGATGGACAGAAATCTGGCGTTCAGCACGATTAAAACGTATGCTGCAGCCATCTCTTCCTGTCACGAAGGGTTCGGAGACAGAACATCTTTTAATCATCCGCTGATTAAGCGTTTTTTAAAAGATGTACAAAGACGCAGGCCTGTTTCATGCCCACTTGCTCCACAGTGGGATTTAACGCTGGTCCTGCGGGCCCTGATCAAAGCCCCATTTGAGCCTCTGGATCAGGTTCCAATTAAATTCTTGTCTCTTAAAACAGCCCTGCTGCTAGCTTTAACATCCGCTAAGAGGGTGAGTGATTTATCTGCCCTCTCTGTCACTCCGTCATGTCTCAGAATTCAGGCTGACGGCAGCTCAGCTGATCTAAGACCAAATCCAGCTTTTATGCCTAAAAACATCACAAGCTCGTTTAAATCAAGAGAGATATCATTGGAAGGGTTTTTCCCTTGCCCCCACAAATCAGAAGAAGATGCATCTTCCCATCTTCTCTATCCGGTGCGGGCGTTGAATTGTTACATAGCGCTCAGCTGCAATGCGTCAAACTCAACATTTGTTTCTGCATTATAGAGATGCATCTGCAGGTCGCCCGTTATCCACCCTGCGCTTGTCACACTGGCTTGTGTGAGGCCATTTCTGAGGCCTACAGAGCATCAGATTTAGAGCCTCCTGCCAACCTCAGAGCACACTCGACCAGGGGTATTGCATCTTCGACTGCTTTGCATAATGGTATGACAATGCAGGACATTTGCACTGCGGCCGCGTGGTCAACACCCTGCTCATTTATTCGTTTCTATTTACATGTTGTGATGGTCCTTTCCATGACACATTCTGTCCTTAATGTTCTAACAGAATGAATATTATTGTTTTCATGGAACCCCGTTCAACTCTCATCTGACTGCATGCTTTACAGTGTGAGATGTTGTTATCAGCCACAAGTTGTGTCTGTTATTTTGGTTCTATTGTCACTAATCAGTTCATGACTATTGTTACCAATCAGTTCATTTGATTAATAATCAGTTCACTTGTTATTATTAATCTGTTCATACTGTTCAGCTGTGAACCGGTTGGTTCATGGCTCCCTTTTTCAACATCTTCCCTCCCCGTTGAACGTTTCCGGGGCGTTCATGCTTTTCAGAACGCATAGTTACACAGCTTGCGTCTGTGCATGGTACACATAATTATGCAATGCATAATTATGTACATGGGGAGCTGAGTGACAAGACGTTTTTTGGGCAAGCTTTTGCTCCATACGGTGTTCGAATGGACCCAGTGAAGCGAGGACCACATCCGCTTCGCCCTTAACCCATCAGCGACAGCCTTAAAGGGCGAAGCCTATATGAAATAGAACGTTGGTTACATACTGTAACCCCAGATTCTATGAATATAGGCGTAGCCCTTTAAGCGTCGGGCCTCACTGGCTCCTAAATGTCTGAAGAAATAAAGCTATTTGGGAGCCGATTACCCGCTCTTAACGTAACTTATACGGACCAGGTGGGGCCCACACAGCAGGTGGGCGTGGACTAAACTTTTCAGTGTAATGCTTCGCATAACGGTATAAAACCCATCAGCGACAGCCTTAAAGGGCTACGCCTATACTCATAGAATCTGGGGTTACAGTACGTAACCAACGTTTTTCTGTTCATACATTACAACAAACAGTTACATTTCTCAGCATTATTAAACTTTTTAGTACAGTTTTTAGGTTTAGGGTTGTGACATTTTGATTTCCCTTAATGAAATTAATCTTTTAACTGTAGCTTCA